CGAGCCGCTGGCTCTCGCCCTGCGGGGCAGTTTCGGGGCGATCGTCCTTTGGGCCGGGAGGTTCAGGCAGGCGCCCGCGTCTCTCCCACCCATCCCAGTACCGCGCCGACTCAGGTTTCTCAGCTGAGCGGTTTCTTACGCCTGTTAGGGCGAAGCCGTGGCTCATCTTCGGGGTGTGCGGAAGCCTTCGGGTAGACAACCGCGCACAACAAAAGGCGGAGAGCATTCCTTTTCCTGGTCGATTGCGGCGACCAGAGGCGTGCTGGCTCCGTGGCTTAGCTGGTTAAAGCGCCTGTCTAGTAAACAGGAGATCCTGGGTTCGAATCCCAGCGGGGCCTCTTTTGCGTTCTTTTTACTACCTCCAATACATTGATTAAAGTGTAAACCTAGAGGTTATTTTCTCCCCATGGGATTTTTACCAAAGCCTTCTACAGGGATCTGAGAATGGACTCTTGTCATACACAAAAAGGAGGCGAAGGTAAACTGCCTTTTCTTTCAGAAGGACAAAGTTCTGCAGTCCTTGGTTTTCTTACTTTTTTTTTATTCTACATGTATTTTGTTTTTAGCAAATCCAAAATGAAACAGTGAACCAGAGGCAGTCACCAAATTTAAACTACAAGCAGCATCATAACCTTTGGCCGTTCCATTTTCTTTCCTGAGGAGATCCCTCCCAGCACAGCCAGCATTTGGGGGGGCCAGTAAGTGGGTGGTTCAGAAGCCTGCAGCCATCCACTGACAGATCACTTCATTTTCATTCAGGACCATCCGGCCACACAAAAGAAGCTGAGAAGAACTATTTCAAAGGGTATATCGTTCCCAGAGTGTTTTCAAAGCAAAAACTAGTATCTGTCACCGTGATGTCAGAGAAGAAGCTACCCAGGGTCAGCCCTCTTCCATGGCACAGTGGGTGGCACACTAGACAGCAGACCTGGAGCCCAGGAAGGCTGTTTCCTTCTCCCAAACTCCGCAGGAGGGAGACACCGAAAGTGAGACATAGGAAAGGAATTGAGCCTCTTCACACAGAAATAAAACCAGCAAGGTAGGAGCTCACTGTCGCCCTTATAGCCTAACCCATTTCCCAAGACGCACCCAAACTACCTGGCACTGGGAGTTCACAGCCTGGCTGTCAGCAGCCTTCAGAGCATATATTATTTTTAATTTTTTAAAAAGGTTTTTGGCATAGGTTGTGTGCACTCACCAGAGAGAGACAGCGAAGGTGAGGAAATCACCTCCTGGGGGGATGGCCACACTGCAGTTCCTTCTCTCTTCTCATCTTGGAAATTTGGGCACATGTGCACGTGAGCCCAGTGCGGGTTTTCAAGCCACGGATCCTGAGACTCGAACCACCGTGAGTAGCCTCAGGTGTGGTAGCCCAGCACCTTAACCACCACTCCAACTGCTGGCCCCAGGGCACAAGGCTCTATGTAGGTTGTCCCACTGTGGCCACGAGGTCCCAGCACTGTGAGGAGCAGCTCAGGGAGCACCCAGACTTTGCCAACTTCCTCCTCTGGCCCACTCTGGCAAGGCGGGCCCTCTTCTGCACTAGTTCCTTCTGGCTTCTGCTCTTGGAAGCCTTCTCCAGGTCTAGCGACAGGCCCTCCCTCAAAGACAACCTATGCGGGTTAGTGGTGCAAAAGGTGACTGCAGGCCACCACCCCATCCATGCAACTGCCGAACCTACCCTACCTCCACCCCCTGCTCTGCCATTGCAGGGAAACCTTGCTCGGCCAAGCGGCTATCACCGACTGCATGCTCTGTGCCAACACGGCGGTGGTGTCTGCACTGACTCTGCCGGCTTTCCTAGGTGAGGCGTCTCACCATCTCTCGTGAGTCTTCCCGACCCCCCAGGTATAACGATCTGTGTGTGAAGTGGCGATGGTTTGCAATCGAGTCCTGTTTATCTATTTGGTGGCTGCTTGTCCAGGGCCGGCCACGTGGCAGGTACCAATAATCACACCCAGGTTTCCTGTCTGCCCTGTGGCTGGGGGCAGCAGAGGGGAGGGGAGACCAACAGCTCAACGCCAAGCGCAGACAGGGGACCCACTACACGGGGAGAGCAGGTGCTGTGCCCACATCTGGACCGTCTCAGAGACCACGTGCAGCGGGAGGAGACAGGAGCGACTTCGCGGGAGAAGCAGGGATACCCACGCCCAGCCGAGGCAGTTGTCACAGAATGCGGGGAGAGGAGTGGAGCAGGGGGCGCTGGGAGAGAGTGGTGTGTGACTGCTCAGAGGAAGCAGCTAGGAGAGACTGGAGCAGGTCTTGAAGCACCCCTTTGTCCAGAGCTGACCATGGCCACGGGCAGCTCCACTAGAACTCCACGCCAGGCCTTGACTTGCTACAGAGGAGGGTAAGGGTCCATGCCTCCCTTAGGGAAGGCCGCGTGCTGCCACAGCAGTGCAGGGAACTGGGTGTGCAAGTCGTGCGTGCAGTGGCTCCAGCTGACTGGGGTCCTCCCAGGCAGTGGAGGGGAGGGACTGACCCATCCCGCGCTCTGTCTTCCTGCAGGCTGTCTGCCGCTGGAGTAGGGGCTATGCTTTCGTGCTCACTGCTGTGTCTCCAGAGACTGGCACAGGGCCTGGTTATCAACAGGGTGACAGTTAATGTCATGTGGCAATTTGAGAGGGCCACAGGGTGCCTGATGAAACGCTGTTTGGGGTGTGTCTGTGAGGGTGTCGGGGAGATTAGCACGGTAGACAGGGACTCAGTGTCGCAGACAGCCCTCCGCAGCATGCCGCGACGGCCGTGCACAGGCCTGAGCAGAGCAGGGGACGGAGGCACTCACTCTGACCCACCCCGCAGGTACACCACACACACAGGGGCACGCTCACACACATGCTCAGATGCATGCTGCGCATCTCTTCCTCTCCTCTTCTCTGGACACAGCTGGCTCTCCAGGCTCTTGGGAACCCACACTAAGTTACCCATCTGCCCTCCTGGTCTGCAGCTGGTAGACGGCAGGTCATGGCATGGCTAGCCTTCGTGACTGCATAAGCTGCACACATATCTGCGTATGGGCACAGATAGATGTCAGCGGGTACAGAGGGGCCGGCGGGTACAGAGGGGCCGGTGGGTACAGACACGGATGGATACAGAGGTATAGATGGATACAGAGTAAACGACTGTGTCTAAATTGTGCTCCCTGGGTCCTGGATCCTGGGTCCTGGTCCTGTTTGGAACTGCAAAATTAGTAGATTGTCAGCGTCTTTTAACCCGCATTCCTTCTCCCCTGTATCTTAAAGAAAATGTCTCTGGGTTTCGATGAGGAGCGTGGGAAGTCGCTGAGGGAGCCCTTGTGTGCGCCTGAAGCTGTGGAGCCCGCCTGAGAGCCACACCTGCGGGGCGCCTTGACGTGGCCCACCTCTGTGGAGCAGCTGCTGTAGGTGGGGTCACGTGTGCCCCAAACCAGTAATACAGGCTCTACAGAAACGGAGAGAGATGAATGCCTTTTCCAGTGACTCCCTCGGAAGGGGGTTGGGGCTGGCAGCGAGACTGAGGAAGTCAGTAAAAAGCAACCTGCAGGTAAGTACGGCAGGAGACCAGCCTAGTGGCCGGCGGCGGGACCGGGCAGTATGAGGCTGAGGACGTAGGCCCGGGTCGTCCGCCACTCCGGGTGAGGGAAGGGGCCAGCTACAGCCGGAGAAAGAGAAATAAAGGTAACCAGCTAGGTTCTGGGTACAGAGGACTTTAAATACGTGGGAAAATGTAGAATAAATTTGACGGAGGAGCAAAGAGTAACGCTGTCAGGAGTGGGATTCGAACCCACGCCTCCAGGGGAGACTGCGACCTGAACGCAGCGCCTTAGACCGCTCGCCTAGTCCCAGTGTTTCCTAGAACACACTTCGGTCTCTAAACGCTGCTCAATCCCTTCCTTCCTTCCCTGCAGGAGACAGCGCTTGGTGAAGAGTGCCCGGGACAGCGATCCGGGCCGAAGCGCGTCAGGGCTGGGACACGGGCCTCTGGGCGGCCCGGGCGTGAGCGGGACAGGACCGTGCGCAGGGAGTTTCGGGTCCCGCTTGCCGAATGCGGGCGACAGCGCGGTCGCCGCGGGACTCGGGTCGCCGCCGAGCTGCGTCTGGCTGCTTCCGGCCCGAGCTGGGCGCGCGCAACGGGTGCGGGTAGGTCCCGCGTAGACGCTGCGCCGGAACAGGGGGCTTTCAGGACACGCCGACAGAGCCCGCGAGACGGCCGGCAGCTCCTGCGTCCGGGACTCCCGGACCTGCGGCCGCCGACTGCGACAGCCGCGCCCGGCTGGGACCCAGGGCAGCCCGGCCGGGGGCGAAGGACTGGACGTCACCTTGCCGCGGTGCTGTTTCTCCGTGAACTCAGTCGACGACACACGACACTTCCACTCGTAAATCAGGTATCAGATCGCCGGCCGATTAGAGGTGCGTCCTCAGCCCGGCCCAGACCCGCGGAGCCCGCGGGTTGGCGACCTGCCGCGCGCCGACTGGGGCGGGGACGCCGTGTGCACACGTGACGTCACCGCGGAGGTTAGACGGCCTCACCCCGCGAACGGTGTGTGCCGTAGTAAGTTGTCCTTTTCACCATGTGTACGTACCGTCTGTCGTTGCCAATTTAAAAATAAAAAGGACGTTTTGGGAACAGAGTCCCACCGTGTGTAACAGGCCGTCCCAGGGTTCCCTGGCGCTGGTTGAGAACCACTGGCTTAAAATACACAGCTCTTTACTCTGAAGACTGACGGCCTGGCCAGGAGGCGAGATAGGAAGCACATAAATAACGTGCTTTATAACCCTCTAGAAGAGGGTGCTGTCTTCTCCTTCCTGGGTGGATTAAATCAGTTATCTGGGTGTACCGGTGCAAAGGTCCTGCTGCACCCCACCCCTAGCCGAGAACCGAGAACCGGCTGTGCACCAGGTTTGAGGCCATTGTTGTAGGGTTTAGCTTTAGAGGAAGTTGGACTCTTTCTTTTAAGGGTGAGGGGGCAGCCACATCCCAGCACCCGTTCTGGCCAGCTGGAGTCCAGCCCGCGTGAGCACTGAGCAGAGCTGCAAGGTGCAGTTTGCCATAGATGCCACAAGGCTGAGTGCACCCTGCCTGCCTGCGCTGGGGCTCTGAGCCTGGCCCAGCCTGGGCGGCCATTGGCGGGGTCTGCCCAGCACCAGAGGAGCTCCCTGGGCCTGAAGTGGACCGGGTCTTTCTGGGAGAGCCAATGGGGCTGCTCCCAGGCCTAAGAGTACTGGAGCCTGAGGAGCCTGATCGCTGGGGAGCTCAAATGAGGGGCATTTTCTGAAGCCGGTTGTGTATCTTAAGGATCCCGATAACCTTTCCCAATTCCAGGTATCAAGGTGGAATAAAACCAGAGAATGAATTGAGAGCACCTTTTTAAAATAAACCTTCCTATGGCAGCCAGGTCCCACATGGCCAATCACAGAAAGAAATAATAAATTGTGTTTTAAGATTATCAAGTAAGCCAAAGTAAGGGTGCATATGGGGGAGGGTGGGCGTCAGGGCACTGTGAGGGGGTGCTGGAGGAGGTAGACTGCTGTCTGGAGGCCGGAGAGCCGACCGAGCCACGTGGAGATGGCCCGAGGGCTTGGCCGACGGGGACAGGGAAGTCGCACGTGGGCTCTCCACCTGCTGGCCTGCGCAGGCTGCAGCCGTGTGAGGGGCAGGGGCTGCTATCGTAGCGGTGTTTGCATTTGAGTCTGATCTTTAGTTGTGAAGTAGAAAGGGTTAAAAAGCAAATACAAATTCGCAAATAGTTCAATCAGTTTTTTTGCCATGGTGGAAGAGAGGTCTTGCTGGTGCTTTGAAGATAGTGTCACTCAGCCCCAGTTGACAAGGTCGGGCTTTGGTAGAACACTGGCAAGGAGACAGGTCCTGTCCATTAGAAGATTCTGACATGAAGCCAGAACAGCTGGACGGAGGACCCCTCACTGGGGTGCAGCCCAGCAGCTGGTGACGGGGACGGGAAGCCTGGGCAGGCGCTCAGCTGTCAGAGAGCTTCGTCCTGGGCCGAGTGCAGAGGCAGGAGCCAGGCTGGGCAAGAGGGAGGACGTGGGTGTTTCCGGAGAATCTGCCACAGCTCAGGACTGTGCTCAGGACCATTTCCATTGAAGATCACGGGGAAGAGAGGGGGGAGGGGGTCACAGAGCTGATTACAGTCTGCCCATTTGGGCCAGCAGGTAGCATGGTGGTTAAAGTGCTGGGTCCCACATGGGCCCCTCTGTGGTTTGAGTCCCAGACCTGGTGTCTTGAAAAACATGCCAAATGCATGTGTACATGCCCAAAATCCCAAGAGGAGAATGGAGAAGGGATTGTGGCATGGCCATTGCCCCCACAGGGGGTGATTGCTCATTTTCTGTCTCCCTGGTGAGCTCATGTGCCTTATGGCAAAAATTTAAAAAAAAAATCTGTGACCATTTTTCTGTGATCTCTCAGAGCAGAGTCCCTGTGGCAGACCCTTCTGTCCTGGGTGGGGTTTGTGTGTTCATTTTAGACTGCACATTGCCTGTTAAACTAACTGCTGGCGGTTCTCAAGTATTTTAAAAGAAATTCGGACTATTAGGTTGTCAGGAAAGTTGTGGTGCATTTTTCTGTGCAAAAATGCATTGTGACTTTCTCAACAACTCGGTACGGTTCCCTTTGACTTTCTACAAGCTCTGCTTGGTGGTGCAGTTGGTGCAAACCGAGCTGCAGTGCTGGAGGCCACACAGCCAGCCGTGGGTTCAGATCCCAGGGTGGGAGGAGGACACACTGGCCAGGATCCTGAAGGTGGGAGGAGGGACAAGGGGACTGTGGTGTGACAAGATTCTGTGGCGTGTGTCTCTCTCACGGGCATGTATGTGCTCTCTATGTCAATAGGTACAGTTTACAATATGGCTTAAAAGTGGACGGGCGGGCATCCAGCAGTTAGCGTAATGGCTATGTCGCTGGACTCCCACGCAGTCGATCGCGGTTCGTGTCCCAGACCCGGTGGCTTAAAACTCACGTCGGGCGCGTGTGCGTACGTGCCCAAGATCCCGAGAGGAGAATGGAGGAGAAGGGATTGCGGCGTGACCATCCCCCCTGCAGGGTGATTTCTCACTTTCTGTCTCTATGTCTCTGTCTGTCTGGCGAGCGCACGCGCCCTGTAGCAAAAACCTCTCCAAAAAAAAAAAAAAAATTTAAAAAAAAGGACAAGCATAGGGAATCGGCAGTTAGCGTAATGGCTGTGTTGCTGGACTCCCACGTAGTTGGCCGCGGTTTGCGTCCCAGTGGCTTAAAACTCACGTCGGGCGCATGTACATGCGTGCCCAAGATCCTGAGAGGAGAGTGGAGGAGAAGGGACTGCGGCGTGGCCATCCCCCCTGGGGGGTGATTTCTCGCTTTCCAAAAACCTCTCCCAAAAAAAATAATAAATTAAAAAAAAAAGGACAAGTGTACAACTTGAACACGGATGAATGCTCGCACGCCAAGGGTAGGCCGGCGCTGCAGATCCCACCTGGCCATCGCAGGTGGGACCCGGAAACCACGCTGACGCACACGGGGGCGTGCACGGACCTCCACAGGGTGGAGAGAGAGGAAGGGCTTGTGGTGTGCCCGTGCTCCCTCTCCCTCTGTCTCTCTACATGACACCCCCTCCTGCAGGAGCAGTGTCGGGGACAGCTGGAGGAGGCCCGAGAGGAGGAGGACATGCATTCAGCGTTGGGCAAGTTGGTCACAAGCCTGCGCGTGGACTCGTGTTTGAGTCGTCTAATATACCCACAGAAATGTGGCTGGGTGGGTGTAACTATGTGGGTATCGAAGCCAGAAAGAAGGCTTACACAGAGGGGCTGGGAGTGACAGAGACACAGGAGGGACAGAGTACCCTGTGGTCACACGTAGCCTTGTGTATCACAGTGACTGTGAGGCCGACAGACCCGGGTGACATTCGGGATGTCCACAGAAGGGAGTATCTTCTCTCTCCTTGCCGCGACCCCTGGGAGGGTGCCAGATCCCGGGACGTGTCCTGTGGTGAGAGCAGGCCTGGCGTTTCAGTGTGGCCGTCACATACGATGTGACCTTCCCACCACGTGGGGGAGAGCCCACTGTCCCTTCAGCAGCAGGGCTGGGGGAGGCGTCAGGCTGGCCCTCTGTGAGGGGACATTACTGTCCCTGTGGGGGTGCCCATGTCACTGACCTGCCGGGGTCGTGAGTGGCACCCAGGGGACCACCCCGCTCTCCCCTCCCCTGGAGGAGCGTGGCCGGCTGGCAGATGCTGTCACTCACTACACCACCAGGCCGCCCCTTTACCCCGTGAAGGTGGAGCTGGTGCCAGCTGAGGGCTGGGGGCCTGGGGGAGGGGGAGAGTGGCAGGAGCCGAAGCAGAGCGGGGTCAGAACCAGAGCGGGGTCAGAGCCAGAGCGGGGTCAGAGCCAGAGCGGGGTCAGAGCCAGAGGGGGCCAGAGCCAGAGGGGGCCAGAACCAGAGGGGGCCAGAACCAGAGCCGGGGCTCCCTAGGGAGTGACTGGGCTGGGGTGCGTGGGGATCAGTTTGGAGTGGAGAGTGTCCACACTTGCAGAGGCAGGGTCCTCCCCCAGGGGGCACAGCGCCATCTCCTTAGAAAGGTCCGGAGCAGTGGCGGTCACAGAGACCCCCACAGGCCCGCCCGCCACTGGGCAGATGGTCAAGGGCTTCTTCCCACAGGACCACAGGCAGAAGAAGGGCCGCAGGGGGCCGGAGAAGGAGCCCTGGGGGAAGGTGTAGATGTGGGAGCCGTCCTCCGTGTTGTAGAAGGACACGGCTCCTGACTCGTAGTCCAGGAAAACCCCCACCCGGGGGGGGGCTCCTGCCAGCGGGAGAGGGGTCCGCAGAGGCGTGAGGGCCCAGTACCCGTTCCCGTAGAGCTCCACGGCCCAGAACCCGTTCTCGGGGGTCATGGGGTCGAAGCCCTTCTTGGCCACGTTCTCCCGACACACGCCAACCGCCCAGTCCGTCCTGTCCCCCACCTCCACCTCCCAGAAGTGCCTCCCCGAGGTGAAGGCCTCCCGGCCCAGCACGCAGGGCCACTTTTTTTTCTCGGGCAGTCTCTGACGTGTGTCCTCCAGCCGGACAGACTTCGCGTCCTCGTACAGGAAGAGGTGAGGGTGGGCCGTATCGGGGTCCAGAGTCACATCCACTGGAGAGGCAGAGCCGGTGTGACTGTCAGAGCACAGCGGCCGGGGACTGTGCTCCCTCCCCCAGGCCAGCCGCACTAAGCTAGGAGGTGACAGGTACCCTCAGGCCTGCCGGGCTGTCTCCATGCCCGGGTCCCCCCTTCCAGCAGTTCTGGGTGAGGTCAGCCCACTGTCCCCAGGGCTAACGGGACCCTGTAAGAGAGCTTGTCTCCCAAGGCCCTCCACTGCCTCCAGGGAAGTCTCCTGGCTATCTGCACCTCCCCACACTGTCCCCAGTACCCAGGGCTCCGGGTACTGGAACAGCCGCAGAGCCCCTGAGAAGTTCAGGGCCACCAACCTGCGTGCAGTGAAGCCGTTTTCCACCCTGCGAGGGGAGAGAGGGGAGACAGTCAGGGCAGAGCTATGGCCGGGAGGGGGCGGAGGGGACCGTGGTGGAAGGGTGGGGCCAGAACTTACTGAGCTCTTCCAGCAGTCTCTCTGGAGAACAAGGACAGACATGTCAGTGACCTCTGCAGCGGGCACGAGGGGGGACAGGACGCGCCGTGTGCCTGGTGACTCCCCGCTTACGGGGCCCGTGGCAGGAGACCCAGAGCCAGGGCTGCCATGTGCTCTAGGAAGTACTCAGGGAGTTCCTGCTGGCTGGGGGTTGGCTCTTTATCAGTAAGATCGAGACCCGGAACCCGAGGTGGGCGAGCAGCGCGGCCTTCATGGGGCTGTGGCGTCCGTCCTGGCCTGCCTGTTGCAGCTGCCCCGGCTGCCTGTGGCCCCAGCAGGCTCTCCTCTCGGGGGTCTGTGGCCCCTGCCCCCCGCGGTGCCTTCCAACTCCGATGCTGAGACCAGACACCTCCCTGTGGTCGCCCTCCTCCAAGGCGCCCGTGACTCACCCTGAGGGCCGAATCCCTTCTCCGTCTCCCTGGGTCTCTCCTTGTATAATCTCCAAATGAAAAACATGGAGCCGATGGTGAGCAGTCCCAGGACCACGAGGGTGACAGCCACAGCCAGCACCCAGGGCGCCAGCCTGGGCCGGACGGGGGCTGCAACAGACGCCAGGACATCGGGTGAGAAGCCCGGCCTGGACCGCTCGTGTTCCTCCCATGGCAGAGTGGCCACGGAGACAGAGATGAACAGGGCGAACCAGCTAGCCGGTGAAATACTCAACGGAATGAACTATGCATGTCGTTATGGAAACCCCGTGACCACAGACACAGGATGGGGCCAAGGACCGGGCGGGAAGTGCCACTTCGGAACAGAGGCGGGACGCAGTGACCCAAGCTGCTGCAGGACAGCCTTCTGCCTGAGCTGGGCGTGGTCTCGGGGGGCTGGGACCTGCTTCCCGGAGGACCCGGAGAGCTAGGCTGTGCTCCGGCCTGGGGCGGGGTGGGGGGCACAGGGGAGAGGCCGGGGGAGGAGAACAGAGTTGTCTGTTTATTCAAGGACAGAGGGTCAGCATGGGGAGGCCGCAGAGCTCCTGAAGGGGCCGAGCGGTTTCTGAGCTGCAGGTGCACGCACGCTCGGATTCTGCACTTGTCCAGTGGAGTTGGGGGCTCCCTCAAGGCAGTGGGCGAGAGCTAAGGAGGGGAGTGGGCACCCAGCCCAAGGTCACCCCGCGGCATCCCAGAAGGCAAGGCCTGAGCCCTGTCCTGGGACCCCGCCCAGCCCGCTCACCTGGTAGGAGAACCCCCTCTTCCTTCTGCTGGCCCAGGAGCGGGTTCTGGATGTGGCAGGACACATTCCGCAGGGAGGAGTCTCCAAGGACCACGGACGTGGCTACAGCGAACAGGCCGTCTGCATCAGGGCTGCTGGCCTCCTGTGTGGCGGGGAGCTCCTCCCCCGTCGGCGTCCGCCACTGCGCCTGGGGTGCGGGGTACCATCCTGTGGAGCTGCACTGCAGCCGGATCTCCCCACTCGCCTGGACTTCCGTGTGGACGACGGGGTCCGAGCCCAGAGCTGCGGAGAGAGCTGGCCTCAGTCCTGGCACAGACAACCCGAGCGCCTTCTCCCGCCGCTGAGGGCGAGAAAGAGAGACACGCGTGGACCGTGGAGTCGTCCCATGTCATGACACGAGGAAACTGAGCTTTCGGCAGAAGGCCCTTCATGCACCTCAGAGAGGGGTCTCCTGGGCCTCTGTGACGGGAACCGGGGCAGGACTGGAGGTTCCGCCCAGTGCAGGAGCAAGTGCTCCGGGGCGTCGTGGCCCAGAGCCGGAGAGAGCTCTGTGCTTGGTTTTACGAGAAGGCTCTGGGGGGACAAATCGAGGCGGGAACTGGGGTGCTCTGCCCTGAGGCCGTAGTTGATCCCTGAGAGCGCGCCCACCCAGGAGCGCCCCTGGACGGGGCAGCCTCCCTGCACACGCTCGCCCCCAGCAGGCGTCTCCTGTCCGGTCCGCCCAGCTCTTCGCTTGCCGCCCCTCGGACACAGGGTGTGTGCACAGCGCACGTCCACAGCCACTGACTCAGACCCGCTCTCCCAGCGCGTGTCTGGGTGAGAACAGTCTTTTCATGAAACGGGCTGCCCCTTCCAGCAGATCCTCAACAATATCTGTCACTCCTGAGGGTAGCCATGACAGTCGGCCCTCTGGGCTGTCAGGATCAACTTCTAAGATGCTTCTCTAGGGCGGCCCCTACCTGGCAGCCCTGTGCTTCGAATCCCAGCCCGGAGGCTTGAACAGGATGTTGGGCATGTGCACACGCGTGCCCCGAATCTGCTGAATGCAGAAACAGAGGCGAGGCGACCGTGCGCGCCGCACCCCGGGGCAGTGCTCTCCCCTCTCCCTCTCTCTGTCTCTCTGGCAGGGCACGCACTCTCTGGCAAATTTAGAAAAAGGAAGGGTGTTTGAAAGAGGAGTGTGCATCACGCACCAGCTGCAGGGACCGAGAGATCACAGCGGAGTTCCCAGCCGACCCTCACTGGGCACAGGGCACGAGGCCGCGCACCTGCGTGCCATGCGGGGTGCTAGTGTGACGCGGCACTGCGAGGGCTGACGATGCAGCTTCTCTCGTGCTGACTCCATTTCGTTCCTGCTCGGCCTTGCCTCACAGAAGCTTTCCCCCCTCTTACAGCAGGAAGCAGGCCTCTGAGAGAGGTTCGTTTGCCGCTCGACTCCTCGGTGCAGCTTCCCAAAAATTCTAACCATTTTCCTTATTTGCCCTGAGTTTTGACTAGAAGAGAAAAAGAAGGAAATGAAACCTTTCCTGGGTGGATCAGGAGTGGTAGGTGGGGCCTCGCTCTGAGGCCCTGGGAAGCCGTGGTAGGTGTGGGGCACGTGGCAGCCTCAGCGCAGGCCGGCGCTCAGCCGTGTCAGGGTGAGACAGCACGGCTTTAATGTCCGATGCTGGGACTCGATCCAGCACATGACGGTGTACTAGCACACAGGGACTTCAAAAAGCTCATGTAAAATGGGATTACAGAAAAGTGAATTGAAATCCGTGCAGTTTTCTCATAAAGAGCATCTTTCATGAGATTTTTGAAGTCCCCTCATATAAAAGAATGTCACGTGGCCAGCATGGCTGCCGGATCTCATGGGAAACGCATGTCCTATTACTGTGGGAGAGGCGAGAGGCTGGACAGCTGTAGGGGGGGACATTGGGCCCTCCCGGCCCTCAGCTCAACCCTCCTCTCGCCTCCTCTGGCCCTGCCAACACCCCCACCCACGGGGGCCCTGAGGAGGAGCCTGGCCGTTCCAGAGCAGCGGGCCCAAGGACAACGCATACTGCGGGAGGCGACTGCTGGCCACTTACCAGCCACCCTCAGCTGCACGGTGGCCTCTGCAGTGTGCCTGTCCTCCCTGAAGAGGCACTGGTACTGGCCAGCGTCAGAGACCCTGACCCCGCGGATCCTCAGGGTGGCACGGCCCTCGGGGATGCCGTCGGCCACCAGCGTGGCCCGCCCATGGAACTCAGCCGTCTGCTCCCTGTCCTGCTCACGCCCGTCCACGAACACCAGCACGGCGGGGGAGAAGGTGCCCCGGAACCAGCGAAGCTCCATGTGTGCCGCGCTCACGTTCGGGGACAGGCGGCAGGGCAGCTCGGCGTCTTCGCCCACCAGGGCCAGGACAGGCTCCGCCGGGGCCACCACCTCGAAGGGAGCTGCAAACCACAGGAAGAGACAGGACGTGGCCGCGGGGACTGGGGACTGGTGGGCCGCGCTGGTCACGGCAGAGACCCTCCCACTCTGTCTCTAATGTCTTTGAGCCTGAGGAGGTCCATCCTGACCCAGCGGGGGACTCCGGGGAGAACAAAATGGGGTGTTCATGCCTATTGAGACACTTCAACCCTTCAGGCCAGAGAGGCAGAGAGAGACTGAGGGAGAGAGACGAGAGACCTACCTGCACGTATCCAGGGCAGCTGCAGGAGAAGGACGAGTAGGCCCCCCGGGAGGCAGGATTTTGGGGACGTGGCCATCTGTGACCTCTCAGGCAGGGGACACTGGTTGGTCCTCAGGAGCTTCCACCTGCAGGCAGGAGGAGGCTGTGGGCCCTGCTGTCCCCAAGCTCCCACAGCCCCCTCCCCGGGGCCCTGGCCTATGTCTGGGCCCCCTCTGTGCCCCTCCCCAGGGAGCATTCTCTGTCCTCCGGTCGGCTCCTCCCACTCACCCAGCTCCCCAGAAATGGCCAAATCAGGCCCTGAAACCTCAGAAGCCACCAGAAAGGACGTGACCCCCAGGGGCTCCATACCCGGGAGCACGGTCCGCGATGCCTTTGCTGAAGGGCCTTCTTCCAGACGCGGTCATTCAGGGGCCCTGTGAGCAGTGATCAGAAAGACGCGGCCCGGAGGCCGGGAGGCCCCCACTCACCCAGCTCCCCAGAAATGGCCAAATCAGGCCCTGAAACCTCAGAAGCCACCAGAAAGGACGTGACCCCCAGGGGCTCCATACCCGGGAGCACGGTCCGCGATGCCTTTGCTGAAGGGCCTTCTTCCAGACGCGGTCATTCAGGGGCCCTGTGAGCAGTGATCAGAAAGACGCGGCCCGGAGGCCGGGAGGCCGGCGGAGGCCCGCCAGGGGGCTGGGGGGCGC